TTGGATATTAAACTTTTCCTGCCCAGTGTCTTTTTGGAAAATATAGACACAGGAAGCAAAGCTCACCCCTGTGTCATATTAAAACCAGTTTTTCTTAAATTGTTGGAATATAATGGAATATAAATGGAGATGTTTTAATGTTCTCTCATGTTTTTTGTCTGTCCAATGGAAGTTTGCACCAGAATTGTCAACCTTTCAAAAGTTCATAAAGCTTGTAATAATCCATTTGAATCAAGTGGTTTCATTAATAATGTCTTCTGAAGAGACACAATCACTTTGTATTACTTAGATTTTATTCACATAAAACATTGATCAACGCACATACATAGAGCACATCTAATATGATAACTGGCAGCTCAAATGTGCTTACTTGCGAAGGTGAATATTTTGGGTGAACTATACATTGAACGAATTTATAGTGCTTATAAATCAAACTATTTATTACAAATTTGTGTTTGTTTTATTCCTCAGGCAGTTGCCATGTTCACAGAACTGATCCGTGAGAACTTCAGGAGCAGCAAATTGAAGCAATGCTTGATTCCACCCCTGGGGGAGCTGCTCTATCTCATTGCTACACAGGTATAACAAAATTAAGTTAAATATTTTTCTAAAATAATAGGGCTCAGACAAAATGCATGTTATTTTTTATACAAATTACCCAGTTCAAAAGTTTACATACGCTTGATTCTTAATACGGTGTTGGTACCTGGATGAACCGCAGCTGTTTTTTTTTTTTTTTTGTGATAGTTGTTCATGAGTCCCTTGTTTGTCCTGAACAGTTAAAACTGCCAGCTGTTCTTCAGTAAAATCCTTCAGGTCTCACAAATTTCTTTGTTTTTTTTATTTGAACACTTTCCAACAATGACCGAGATCCATCTTTTCACACTGAGGACAACTGAGGGACTCATACGCAACTTACAAAAGATTAAAACGCTCACTGAAGCTTAGAAGGAAACACAATGGATTAAGAGCCTTGAGGTGAAAACTTTTTGAATTTGAAGATCAGGGTATGTAAGTAACTTCTGGAGGGCAGTACTAAATGGAAAAAAAAATATTTAGTCAAAATAAGAAAAATGTACACACCTTCATTCTGTTCAAAAGTTTATATTCATACATACTAGGGGTGCTCCGATTGATCGGCTACCGATCATTATCGGCCGATAATCACGTTGGGATAATTGATCGGCAGTCTCTAAAAGACCGATCTCAAAAAACGATCTCAAGCTGATGACGCTGCCGTGAGAGGTTTGGCACGACATGCAGCGGCACCGTCTCAGTCTCTGTCCGGTGCGGGTGAAATAATAATGCTGAAGGTCAGGTACTCACCTTCATATTTCTTCATTAAATAATTTACAAAGTAATTTGAGAACTCATGTGAGACGTAATTTCACAAACAGCGTGAGTGAATCACCGCGCGCGCGCGCGCTCTCTTTCTCAAAATAAGCAAATGGCTTCAAATCACCACACATCGCGTCTGTCTATAAGCGAGCTGCACAGTTGACACAGGAATTGTCACTTGTACAATCGAGGCAGTGTCACATCATCACTAAAGTTTATACAAGTAAAGTTTTTGCATTACTTTTTAATTCTTGCCAGTGTTTAACCATTCAGCGCACAGTGCACCGTGCGCTCATGCACACTTGCAGCGCACAGACATAATGCCAGGTTCACATTACTCTTGTTTGCAGTGCGTGGTATGTGCTGTGTATTTTTTCCGTGCTCATGTTAACGGATTAAATCATTCACACTAGGGATGCACCGAAATGAAAATTCTTGGCCGAAGCCGAAACCGAACTAAATTAAACACTGGGCCGAAGGCTGAAACACGGTTTTTCGACTTTTTTTCCCCATGTATTTTTCCTTTTTTTTTTTTTTTTTTCACCATTGCAAAAATTAAAAAGCCAAAATGTGCTTTTTACTGTTTTGTCTTGCTTTTCAAAGAAAAAAAAATCAATTACAAAACAACAATTTAAAAATATTTAACACTGAACATTTTTAACATTCTAGCAGACACTATACCAACAAAGTACAATTTAACTTAAAATTAATAAGTTAGCAAAATAATAATTTTTGGCCATCAGACCCCCTTCTTGAATCAGGCATGTATTTTTTTTTTATTTTTTTACTGTACAATTAAAAGCAGCCTTGCTGAGAAGAGACTTCTTTTAAAACATTAGAAAATATTACAGATCCTAATTTGAACACTGTGTGAATGTTATAATAAATGTATTGAAACAGAGCTGTTGTAATGATTATCATCATTTTTATCGTCTTTTTATTTTATTTTACAGAACAACAGTAAAATTAAAATACTAACATTTATGAATGTTGATAAGAGTTCTTGCTTTTTCTCAACTTTTTTGGCGGAAACGCGCAGGAAGACCTCAATGCTTATTTTTGTTGACAACAGATTTATAAATGAGTCTCATTTCGAATACGTCGTACGTATCGCATTGTCACATGCCTTGTAAAAATTCATAAAAATGTGACTGAGCAACTGACGACTGTATCAGCGCAGATTTTCCTCACGCTTCAGACTTTAAACCCTGGTTAACAAGCAGATCTGCTGCGAGTTCATGCAGCGCTGTCAGAATACATGCAATGCACGCGTGTATAAGAAAACTTAACGTTCGGCAGTTTATTTACTAATTGTTTAAGGCCATTTTTGCGATTTCAATCGTCATACAGTAACCAGCAACAATCACCCCTTCCTCTTCTCATTGAAGACATGCGATGCAGTCCTAAACAGTTTCTCGCTGTCGGTGCTTGTAATGACTTTTGTGTCTTTCTCCGACAGTTTAAATGCTTCCACACTACTGACGTGTGTGCCTCATAATAAAGAGTGCACGCCTCTCACTCTGCACTGGTTGCTATTTGATTGCGTCATATTATTGTTCGATACAATTTAATCTGTCTTTTCGCTTATTCGGCCAATAATTTCGGTTGCCGAACATTTGGTGCATCCCTAATTCACACTGCACACGGCAGTGCGTTCAGGAGCGGTGTGTCTGCAGCAGTGCAGAGATCGTTTCCGCACCGAGTCTATTTTTGCTGTGATACATGCTCTGAATTAAAGTGACAGCACATTGTTTGCACTACATATGAAAACGAAAATGTAGCAATTGCACCATAAATGCATATAATTAAAGTATACTGTCTTTCACAGTCAACACATATGGCTTGTTGGCTAGTTTTAAAGGAAAAGAGCACTTTTAGATAAACAAGGCAATAATAGATGCACTCGTAGAGGTAGGAAAACAAAGTTCTTTATGAACCGCAGGATTGCTTGTAATAAAGATTTCAATGCAAAAGGAAAGCCAGTAGAGCTGACTATTTCTGTTAATGGTAAGTTTGTGATAACGTAAGAAAAGTAGTTTAAATGTTTTGCCACTTGCTTGAGCAACTTAATATATAAATCTAGAAGTAAATGCAAAAGTAAAAAGCATTGAATAATGTGTTGCTTATATTTATTGTGTTTAAACATGTCTGTGAAAGATTGTATTACTGTACTGTGTAAAAAGAATTGCAATGCTGAAAAAGCATTTT